TTTTTTTTTAAAGATTTTATTTATTTATATGACAGAGAGAGACAGCGAGAACAGGAACACAAGCAGGGGGAGTGGGAGAGGGAGAAGCAGGCCTCCCGCTGAGCAGGGAGCCTGATGTGGGACTCGATCCCAGGACCCTGGGATCATGACCTGAGCCGAAGGCAGACGCTTAATGACTGAGCCACCCAGGCGCCCAATACTTAACTTTTCTTAAGCACTTACCTTATGCCAGACGTGCCCTCGAATCCCCCAGACACCTTTATGTGGTGCATGCTGTCACCCCTTTTCCAGAGACACTGAGAGGTTCCCTCATTTACCTGCACTTGCACAGCCAGGGAGGGGCAGAGGCAGAATTGGAGCCCCTGCCATCCGGCTGCTGAGTGTTCTTTTAAGCCACGCCACCCCTCTGTCTTTCTGTGGGGAGAGGGCTCCTGGTTTTTCTCTCTGGTGAAGTGGATGGAGCCCCGTGGTCTGTTTGCCGCCTCCTGGAGACCAGATGGAGAGGGCGGGGCCTTGCTCCTGGAGTAACAGACTCTGGAGGCCCAGGGCTGGGTTCTGAGGCTGACCGGGGTCTCCTGGAGCCCTCTCCTCATGGCCCAACAGACGTATCTGCAGGTAAAGCGCTGCCTTTTGTGTCCATAGACACGGAACTTGTTCGACTGCTGGCATCTGTCTGCATGCAGGTGAATAAAGACAAAGGCCGGCCCAGCCACCCACCGCCTCTGCCCCACTCGAAGGCCCGACAGCCCTGGAGTGTCCCAGTGCTGCCCGATGACAAAGGCGGGCTTAAGGTTGGCCTTTTCCTGTCCTCAAGGGCTTGAGAGGGTTAGGCTGACGGGGTGGGGGATGCCTGCCGCTTCCTGCTGACCTCGGGCTGCCCAGCAGGAGCAGGAAGTAAGCCGGGGGTGAGCAGTAAGCATGGCGGGTATCGGGGGGACCAAATGCCTCTCCTCCCAGGCCGGGTGTGCAAGGCCTCTGCCCCTGCACGTGGGATACTGCTGCTCGCGCCGTTCTCGGGTCTCCCCGCAGCCCCCGGGCCTGCATCCACGGCCTTCTGGAAATACCAGAACAACCTCCAGTTGCTCATTTCTAACTGCAAGCCGAGTATTTTTCTTTGAATTTCTGCTCCCCATCCTGCTCTACTTGTCTGAAATCAAACTTCCCTCTTCTCCATCCTGTCTGGGGTTCTGGAGCCTCTGCAGATCTGCACACTCTGCCCTTTGTTCCTGTCCGTAGCTCACACGAGCTCCCGCAAGCCCCGGGTCTTCCTCTCTCTCGGTGTTGTTTGCCTGGGTCCCTGCAGCCCTGTGCTTGCTGCCGTCTCCCTGGGCCAGGCCCTCCCAGCCTCCCCTCCCACTGTGTCGAAGCCTCCGAGCGGTCACGGGGTTATGGGACACCCTGGGGGGTGGCACCAGTCCTCTTTCTAGGTGGGGTGGCATCAGCTGCTGGAGCAGATGGCCCGGGCCTTGCTATGGACACCCGGCACCTCTCACACTCACAGGAGTGGGGGAAAGAGGTTACCCAGTGACTGGTGTCACGGTGTTTGGTGTCGTCTCTTGTCCATCTGTCTGTCTCTGACTCACTCTAAGACTCAGCAAGTTGGCACCCCGTCTGGGTCTCCATTTCTCCATCTGTGCCATGCGGAGACTGGGGAGCTGAGGGGTGGCAGATGGGGTCCCCTGTCGGACGTGGGCCCCTAAGGGCTGAGTCAGGAGGGATTTAGAGAGAACCATGGCTTTGTGGGAGAGGGTGCGGAGGCCGACTGGGAAAACTTGTCATGCGCCCAGGAGAGCAAGGGGGAAGCATGTGTGAAGTATAGTCACCATCCGGGGGCTGGGTGTTCATGGAGTGTGACCTCTGCTCGACATTCCCTTGGCAGTCCTGGTGGAGCCGAATGTCCAATCGGTTCCGGAAGCTCAAACTGACCCAGACCCTGCCCCGTGGGCTCTGCAGCAACCAGCCTTTGCCTTTCTGTGATGAGCCAGAGTCAGCGCTGGACTCCACAATGCGGGCTGCCCCCCAGGGCAAGACAGGCCGCCCGGGGCTTCATGAGGTGGCCCCCACAATGAAAGAGAATGGTAAGAAAACACTGCATGTGCTGTGGAATTTCCAGAATGGCCAGACCCAAATTCTCTGCCCTTTGTCCTATCTCCTGGGCTGATGTCAGAGGTGAGATGCTATTGGGATGTGACACGGGAGCAAAGCGGCTGGTCTGGGGGAGGACCGGCAGGCAGGGACAGCAGTGCAGTCAGCGTGGTAGAATGGGGATGTTGGTGACAAGAGTCCCTGGCAGCTGTCCCACACACCCTGCTGAGGGACCTGAGCCAGTCACTACCTCTCTCTTGCCTCTGATGGGTGCTTTTCCCACCTGTCCAACATGATTGGTCTCTGGCACTGGAAGGGTTTTGAAATAGAATGAGTTATCTGGGGTGGGGGCTTGGGGGTTGGGTAGTGAGCTTCCCACCACTGGAGATATTCAACAGATTGGATGACTTTGCCAGGGCATCAAAGGAGATTCCCACACTGATTGGACGATTGATTAGATCACATCCCTTCTACCAGACTCCCCGCACCCAGAATAGCTCCTTCAGCATTGTTTGAGACAGCCTGTTGAGCTGGGTGCACCCCTGTCTGACCCGGCATGGCAGTGGTTTATGGAAAAGCTGAAAACATGCTTTGAGAGATACCTTTTAAATGCTTTCCTTCTATTCAAATATTGAATACCAATTATTATTAAATATTTAATCCCCCAGGAGAGTTGGTTTTTCAGGATGAAGGCCGACCTGGTCACTCATCCTTATGCCGTGAACTTGTTGGGGAGGGTCATTTCAGGAAATTTCCATTTGTCTCTCAGGTCCTGGGAGCATGAGAGGAGACAAAGAAGATGTGTTATTGACAACCATGGTGAGTGTGGGGCTTTTCTAAAAGCATTTCAGGTCTCTTAACAATCATGAGTTGGTTGATTTACAAGGCTGGATGTAGACATGTGTCTGTCTTTGTGGTGGTCACAGATGGGGTTGATACCAAAACGTGTAACAATGGGCACAGCTCAGGCACTGAGGAAGGGGAACCAACACCAGCCAGAAACCGTGGGTAAAGCTGTGCTGGTGCTTAGTGGCTGGATACTAGCCCTGATGGTGTTCGCAGGGAGGCAGCACTGAGGACAGGGCTTTGAGCAGTAGGACCTGATGGGGCACCTTGGACTCACCATTTCGGTTATGGGGAGTCAGGGGGAGAGGAGTCACAGAGGAGGCTGTGTTTCCAGCCCGAGAGGCCTCGGTCTCCTCACCTATGAACCTAGGATTAGGTTCGGCTGTGAGTAACAGAAGGTCCTCAAATGACAACGGCATAGATGAGACGGCAGCTTATTTTTTCCAAGGGCAGCTCAGGACTGGTACGTTGACCCGTGGAGTTAGGGACCTGCTTCCTTCTACCCGTGCTTGGCTTCTGTTACCAAGACGACTGCCGGAGCTGTGGCCATCACTGCGCCATTCCAGCCAGCAGGAGAGATGCAGGGAGAAGCAGGTGTCTTTGAAGTTTCCTGGGAACTCACACATCACTTCCGCTTAGATCAGTTCGGCCAGCATGTGGTCACGTGGGAGTCACTGCACGGGAGGCTGGGAAATGAAGTTTCTGTTCCAGGTGGCTGTGTCCCATCGCAATGCCAGGGGTGTCTACTAAGGAAGATGTGGAAGGATGGATACCGGGGGACAGCTAGCAGTCTTTGACTTAAGGGAGGCTATCCCTCCTGGTTGTTTCTTTGAATAAGTTTATTCCCAGGAAGTTCTTAGCATAGTGCCTGGCTCGCAGTTATCTGCTGTGTGACCTTGGACGTGTGACTTCACCTCTCTGGGCCTCACGTTGCTCTTGTTTGAATGAGAGCCTCCTGGTTGGGGTTGAACTCAAGTCCATTTAGCTCTAAGACCCTGATCTGGAGGCTGGCCAGGAGAGGGCAGTATTGGAGAGGAGAAGGGAGCAGAAGCACCCCCAAGAAGGCCTCAGCTGCCTCAGGGACCAGCCGCTCCAGGCGCCACGGGCTGAGTGCTGACGGATCTGCTGTCTCCGCCCCGCCCCGCTATGCAATAGGTGTGCATCCGTGTCTCTAGACCAGTTTACCAAGGTGGGAGCTGGTGCTGCCTGACACTTGGTAATCTCATTAAATAGCAGTAATTACTTTTGTATGAAGACAAGGGCTGTTACTGAAATTTTAGAAGATGCAGTAAAGTATAAAGAAGAAACATAAAGTCACCGTTGATGATGCATATGATCATGACTGACATCTTGTGCTATATATCTTTATTGAGTATTTTTCTAGCCACTTTTTTTAGCATCTACCAGTGTATTATATCATGTGTAACAATGGCAAATACGTCCCACTTACTTAACAAGTGCCAGCCACTACTCGAAGCACTTAACGTATATTCGCTCATTCAGTCTCCCCGGCATCCCTGCCTGTGAGGTTGGCAGTGTTCTTTTCCCCATACTGTGCTGAGCCTGACTTATTACCAGTTCATGTGATCATCTGTTGCATGTCATTAAACACTCTTTAGCCACATTGCATTGAATGGCTGCATGATACGACCTTCCATCATGGGAATGTGCCTCACGGACCAGTGAAGGCTCACCTGTTGGACTCTGGGGTTTTTAGTTTTTTGTTGTTTCACAGATCTGATGAATAGTCTTATGCCTCAGTTTCCCCCGCTTGCCTGATTGTTCCCTTAGAGTAAATATCTAGAAATAGAATTTCTGGGTCAGTGGGTGTGAATGTCATTGCCTTCCAGAAAGTTTGCAACAATTTAGACTCTGTCCCCAAGGAGTGAAAATGCCATCTGTGGTGGGTTTGCAGTCCTCTTCCAGTCCATCCCCCATTACTGGATGAGGTTGCTGAGGTCCAGACGGGACAGCACCGTTCACGGACTCTCAGAAGAGCTCAGGACAGCCAGGGTGGGACCCAGCATGCCCAACTGCCGCCCGCCTTGCACGTACCTGTCCCACCTCCTTGTGCCCAGTGGAAGGCAGCAGTGTGCTGGCCTGCCCTTCGGCAGATGGAGGACGGCCAGGGAGCCCTGCCGAGTGGGCGTTTGCAGCCATCCTTGTGGAGATGCATGCCTGCCCGGCTCCTGAGGCAGGTTGAGCTGTGGGATGCCCTTCCCTGCAAAGCACCATCTGGCGCCAAGTCCACCGTCTTTTCTTAATTAAAGTTAGTATGGACTGTGTGAATGCTTTTCCTTGACAATCCACCAGTCATCATTGTGTGGATTTTATACTAACCCCAAATCACATTTTCAAAATATAAAATTACAGTTAAAAATGTCAGCAGTGGGAGGTGTGGCTGGAGTAGGAAGGGTGGGGTGGGATGGGGAAGGGAGTGTTTGCTGGGCTCACAGAGAGCCAGCCTGGGCCTCCCGGTCCCCCCCGCCGTTGCCCTCCCCCATCCTCCTAGACCCCCAGCTCTGCATGCACGTCCTGTTCCTCTGGCTGCCAGGCCTGCCTGCGTTCTGCTCCCTGGGCCTGCAGTGCCCTTTTCCCCAGCCCCCCAGGGTCCCTGTCACAGCACACTCAGCATCCCTTGGTCCCCTCCCCCAGCTCCCCATCCCCTCTGTCTCCATTCTAGCTGCTCTGATGGACATAAAAGAAGCTGGGGGTTGGAGCAGAGTAAAGGAGGGTATTGCCTGGTTGCTGGGAGAAGAGCAGAGGATACCACATGGGTTTCTGGCCGGGTGTGTATTGGGAGGGGTGAGGGGGTAAATGATGGTGCCATTCTCTGAGAAGCAGGAGAAACCTGGAGAGTTCCGTGAAGAGCCCCACTGGGGCTTGTCTAACCCACAGCCTGTCTTTTTCAGCTTCGCAATGGAGCCCCCTTCCCCAGACTCCCGAGTGACAAGCTGAAGGCAGTCATCCCCCCTTTCTTACCCCCTTCCAGTTTTGAGCTGTGGAGCTCGGATCAGTCCCGGACATGTCACAGTGGGAAGGCTGAGCCCGTGAAGACCGTGCTGCCCCAGAGAGCCGGCAGGGGCGCCCCCGTGGGCGTGGCTGGTGGGAGCACAGACGCTGTAAGTCACCCGGTGGATGTGCTTTGACATGTCACTCACCACTCATTGAAGTTGGCGTGTGTTTCGGGCAGAAGGGACCTCAGACCTGCTAATCCAGCAAGGTCGAAGCTTTTAATTTCTTTTAAATGAGTGTTATCCTTTTGTCTCACGAATCCTACAAAGGGACTTAACTTTATAAACAGATTAAAACATAGTGTGAAGGGAATGAAAGTGGGGGCCGCTCTTCTCTGCCTTTTCTATGGAGCCCTGGATCTCCAAGGAGCACAGCCTGAAGACCTGATGTAATCGAACCTTCCCTTTAATAGATGAGGAGACTGGGACCCAGAGAGGGGAAGTAACCTGCTGCAGAGCACCCAGCCACGTCACGTGGGCCGGGGACCAGGAGTCAGGTTCTTGGTTTCGAACCAGCTTCCACATTACATCATTGCTCAGGTCCATGACCAGGAGCAAACACTAAGAGGCAACTGTGTGCACTACTGGTATTTTCTTATACCACAAGGAGTGGGACTTGTAGCTTTTTGCCCACAGTTGCTTGTGACTTTGTGGCCCTTTGTGTGTCTCTGTAATGTCCCGAGGTAGTCCCTGTTGGTGGGGGAGGTTATTTCCATGTGTGTAGACTCCACACCGTAGATTCAGTAAATGGCAAACCAAAGGTGAGGACTCAGGGCCCTGCGCTGTCATTGTGTGATCAGTGACCAGAAGACCTGAGAGCCCCCATCTCTGTCCGTAAAACGGGGCTGACCTTTGCTCGCTGCTGCTTCTGGGGGCTGTTGCAATAGCACATCTGTAGTGGGAGAGTGAGCCTGGCCCCTGGAGGTGCCCGACATGGGCAGGGCTGGCTTGCATCTAGTCTGCACTGTGGGAGGGGTTGAGTGATGCTGAAAGTGCGGTGACTCGGGGACCGATGTCATGGGGGCATGGCCTGAGCTAATGGTCTGGTTGTCAGTGGCTAGAAGTGAACTCGCTGGGGGACTCCTGGCGGGCTGAGCACCGGTTGGCGAGGGTGTGCCAGGCGACAGGCATCAGCTAGGGTGAGCCAGTGGAATCCGGGTCCCTCCCCGCTGTGATCATGTGTGCCCAGAGGAGGGAACAACACACCCAAACCACAACACCCCCCTTATTCTTGCAGACTCCTGTGAGGCCCGTTAAATTTCCATCTCTCTCCAGAAGCCCCGCCTCTCCTGCCAGTTCTGGAAACTTCAACCACTCACCTCATTCCTCAGGCAGCTCCAGTGGGGTAGGGGGCTCAAGCAGGCACGGTGGGGAGCTGCATAACCGCTCAGGTGGGTACCAGGCAGGGCCACTCAGGGGAGGCGGGAGGGTCCCCTGGGGCTGCGGGTGTGAATGGCCCCCTGCGCTTGCTCGGTGGACAGTCCCAGGAGCAACTGTACACACCCTGTCTTCCTCCTTCATGTGGCTCAGGGATTCTTCAGTGAATTCACAGTGTTGCCCTTTGCCCTCCAGAATGGCACTGTTCATACTCGTAAAATACTTAACAACAGCACGTGACACCTAGTTATCCCCTTACAGACGTTGGTATCGGTGTCCTCCCTTGGATCCTCCCTAGCCCTGGATAGTATCACTTTCCCCTGTCCTCTCATAGTAATGCAAGGTTGCTGGTGGGTTTGGGACAACTGGGCAAGGGAACATGGCAGTCCACTGAGTACTGCGGGGTGAGGAAGTTACCGACACAGCTGTGGGAGTGGTGTTGGTAAGGCCCCGGAAGGGGGGTCCGAGGGCGCATGCTGGTCGGGCAGGCTGTGCGGCTGCTGGAAGGGGCAGTGTGGGGACTGCTGTGGGAGGCCAGGCCAGGGCGTCTGCCTGCGGGAGGCCGCACAAGCTGGCTGTGGCGTGGGGAAGGCGAGGACAAGCTGATCGTACCTGCGCTGCCCCTTTCAACACCTCTCACCATGATGCCTTCGGAGCATGATGGCCGCTGTGTCCTCTCCACCTTCGGTTTTCACGCACAGGCCTCTTGTGGTCAACCTGGACCCACAGCCACACGGGGTCAGGGGGGCGTCTGGGAAAGGCGTTTCCAGCTCCGTAAGGTCAGCACACAAAGTCCACCACACCCCTGTTGCTGGACCCTGGACCCCTGGCAGTCATTTCTGTTCCTCTTTCCTCAGGTGGTAGCATAGACAGTGTCCTGTCACAAATTGCTGCCCAGAGGAAGAAAGCAGCCGGATTATCAGAGCAGAAGCCCAGCCACCAGTCAAGTCCCCTTGGGCCAGCACCAGGGTCCAGCTCGTCGGAACTCCCAGTCTCCCCTGCAGGCGGTGGCGGTCCCGGTGGCAAGGTGTGTGTTCTGTTTCTCTCTCCTTCTGTTACACTCTTGGGTTCTGTCCTCACGTGGCTCATGTGCTGGGGAGCACGGGCAGTGCCGAGGTCGTGGGACGGGACTCGAGACAGGCCCCTTGCAGCCGGCTGCTCCCAGGCTGTCTGGGGAGGGCTGGATCAGGCCGGCGGTTGCCAGGGTCCCACCCTGTGCCCTCGGCCGCCTGCACACATGCGTCTACCTCCCACCTGATCTGCAGGGCATCTCCAGGTGCCTCACTCAGCCTCACACTGTGTACGTTGGTTCATAGCTTAGAGCCAAGAAGTGTGGAGCACTTCAGGAGCAGACTGCCTGGGATGAGATCTCAGCCCCACCCTTGAGCATTTTGCGGGGGGCCCGGCCCCTGGCCGGTCTGTGGCAGCTGTCAGTGCTGACGTGCCCAGCAGGAGTGGTCGCGCTCCCACCTTATGCCTGCACCGTGCATGGCTCTGGGGTGGCTGCTTCGTGCCTAGCGCTGCTAGCAGCGAGGGTGCGGCGGTCTGTCTGACGGCTCTCAGACCGTCACTGTGGACTCCGGCAGTGAGGAGGGGGCATGCCGTGGGGGCACAGATGGGGGCCGCTCCCCAGGCTTGACGGCATCAGTGACACCTACAGGGGGTCTGAAGGATGAGGAGCCAGATGACGGCGACAGGGGTGGGACAGGGGTGAGGCTGCTCCAGGGTGAGGCACTCCAGAGGGGAAGAGCTGAAGCAAGGTTGGAAGGCAGGCCAGAGTTGGAGTCTCACCTGTCTGTCCGGCAGCATTCCTCCATTGATGCAGCCCAAGAGCAGGCAACACGTTGTTAGTTTCTGTGTGGAGTTTGCGTGGCCCTCCACGTGCTCCCCTCCGGTGGTTCAGTGTAGCCCATTTTGTCCTCTGAGAGGACCCCACATCCAGGCACTATCCCACTCTTTATATTTTTTAGATGTCTTAAGCTTTTTCCCTGAGAAAAGTTAGATCACGTGAAAGCCTCACCCCGGACCCTTGCCCAGAAGTGCCTCCAGAGATTATGTTTTAATGGATGTATGAGAAATAATCTTCATTTTCTGCCCACCACTGTTGGTTACATAACTTTTGGTTATTCAAGGTCCCTTTTGCAATCAGACATACATAATTAGGTTCCCATTATAATAGAGCTCCAGAAAGTTTCTCTGTCCCTATGTGTTAGCATATTTTCCATTATATTAAAAATTATTTGTGTAATAGGATCTGTGTAATGAGTTCCCTTTAGAATTCAGCTCTAGAAAAATGTCTCTACTGATACTTTCATACATTTTCTTTCCTTAGATAAAAAGAATTATATAATTATTTCTCTTTTTGCTTTTGCTGCTAGGAAACTCAGAGCTACTAATTAAAGTAAGTCTTCTTGTCTGGGCTTTGATATAGTTTTCCTCTTCTCTGTTGTTTAAGAATTTCTGTTTCTATTTGGATGATCTTATGATGTGTTAGATATTGTTAGCTTCCTTTAACTGGTGTTCAAAATAGGTAGGCATCTAAATTATAAGTTAACTTATCTCCCTTGGCTGCGTCTATTATATATAATCTATGTACAAGTATATTCTGATGAAAGGAGATTGTGTCAAAAGATGCATTCAGGAAACAAACTGGGGAAACTATCCAGTTCAGTGATCACCTGATACTCCTAACAATGTACTTGGGGAGCTCTCTAAAAATTCAGGTTTCTGGGCTCCACCCAGCATAACTGAATGAAACTCTTCAAGACAGGATCTGAGGACTCTGATTTTCCCCCCAGAGAGCATTGCAGCCAGCCCAGCCCAGGGCTTTTAGAAACAGCTGCCCTAAATCAAAGGACACAAGGAGTGGGCTTTCTGTCAAAGACTCCAGCAGCAAAATGGAGACATGAAGTGCTTGTCAAAGACTCCCCTAGGAAGAATTAGAAATTAGTATTCAAAATAGGAGCCTCCTGAATCTGGTTTTTGAACTTTGCTTCAGACAAGCACCACCGTAATGGTGGAATAGTCACAAGGCATGGCTTTGCCATGTTCACGAATCAACCTGAGGTGAACCTGGGGAGAATCGGGGGGTGAGGGACATTTCAGTGTGTGTGTCAGTGCTTCCCAGACCTCTGGAGGCCCAAAGTCCCACTGAGTATATCAGCTCTCTATTCCCACCCTAGAGCCTAGTGGTTTAAAACAAAAAGCATTTCTTTAGCTTGTGAACCTGTGGGTCAGCATTTCAGTCTGGACTTAGCTAGTCAGTCGTTCTGGTCTGGGGGGATCACTTATACATTTGGCTGTTGGCTGGGGTGACCAGGATAACTGGGCCATGTGTGCCCACAACAAGCTTAGATATGTTCTCATGACAACAGCCAAAGGCATGAGTTGAAAACCAACCAGGTTGTTTAAGAAGTCAGCACACCCACTGCAGGAGAACACACAGAGTTACATGGGAGGAATTGAGATGACACTATTAACACAATCAGTCTGCTATACTGGGAACCCAGGTAATAGTTCAAATATTTCAGAGCACCCCAAATAATCATATTTATCTGTCCCCCCACCCCTACCAAATAATGCTGCCCACAAGATCCAGAGTATCATGCTTCTTTGCTTTGGCTGGGATAGATCTGTTTAGTCGGGATATACTAATTATCTCCTGCTTAATTAGAAGCTGTATTTTTGAATGTCCTTCTTTATAAAAAAGCAGAAAGAAGAATTTATTAACAATATATGCAACTAAATGACAAAATCTTTCAAAATCTAAGAGAGGGACTTGTTGTTCCACTCTGGGATGTGGTTAGAAGGAGCATTAAAGGCTTAGCAGGAGGAGAGGTGTACCCATTTCCATGCATTAGAACTATTTATCTTAGCCTCTGCTATCCTAGTTAAGATGTACAACTTTACCAAATATTACAAGACCTACAAAAAGGCATGAGAAACTGCACTCCCAAGAAACAGCAGTCATCAGAACCTGACTCAGATATGACAAAGATGTTGGAATTACCAGACAGTGAATTTAAAAGAACTATAATTAATTGTTAAAGGCTCTAATGGAAATTTTGAACATGGGAGATCATAGCTATTTCAGCAGATCGATGGAAACTCTAAGAAAGAATCAAATGAAAACTCTAGAAATAGAAAACAGGTAACAGAGACAGGCATGCCTTCGATGGGCTCTTCAGTACACTTGACACAGCCAAGGGAAGAGTCTGTGAAGTGGAAGACAGGGTAAAAGAAATCACCCAGGGCGCCTGGGTGGCTCAGTTGGTTAAGCGACTGCCTTCGGCTCAGGTCATGATCCTGGAGTCCCGGGATCGAGTCCCGCATCGGGCTCCCTGCT